CGGCGAGGCCGCTCGGGGCCGGGGGCCACCAGCCGGACCCGCTCGGTTCCCTGTGGGGATGGGCCGGGCACCCGGTGCTCCAGCTTGGCCAGCCCTTTGATCCCTCGCTTGGGGTTGGCGGAGTTCGAGCTGGGGTTGGCGGTGATACGGGGCCCTCCTTAGAAACCAGTAGGACTTAAAACTTATTGTCTCTTTTGCTATTTTTTTTTCCCTTATGGTGTTATCTTCTCCATCCAGGCCTTCAGGAGAGCTTGGACAGAAAGCTGTTTGGACAGCACCTAGTGAACAAGGTGATTGTAAAGGCCGTGAAGGGCTTCTTGAATAACACAGACCCCAAAAAGCCTCTTGCCCTGTCCTTGCACGGATGGACTGGAACAGGCAAAAACTTTGTCAGTAAGATAATTGCCGAAAGCATTTATAAAAAAGGCCTGAAGAGTAAATACGTCCATCAGTTTGTGGCTACGTTGCATTTTCCTCATGCTGACAGCATCAATCTGTACAAGGTAAGAATGCGTTGTGGATCTCCTGGCAGTAGAGCACAGTTCTGCAGCAGTAGCTGTTGTATTAATTTATAAAAGTTATGGCACAGTCAGCACTAGAAGCCTAGATGCTATTTTGCACTGTAAAATGTAGCCGGTGCCAGTTTTGGAATCTCTTAAACTGAATTGGATAAATCCTAACATGCACCAGGACTGATTTCCCATGAATGTAAAGCCATTTTCTGCATAATGTTTTGAGCCTCCCCTTAGAGAAAAATGATGTGGTTCATTTTCATTGCTATATACTTTGTCTAGAGATGCAGATCTAGAGATCTGCTTAATGATAAAGGGTATTCAGCAGGCTGCAAGGGATAGGTGATATGCTGATGGGCACTGCAAAAACAAATAAGAATTTATGACTCTGGAGAAACGGCTGACAGCTTTCAAGTATGTCAGGTACCGTGGATAGCTGAAGGGTATCTGAGACATGGGTGCGCTTTTCTCCTTCATCACACGCTGGGCAGTTTATTTAATTTTTCTATGTATCCATTTCCCAGCTGTAAAATCAAATTACAAAAGACTGTCTTCAGAAAGGTACAGATAAATATAGTTGGAATTGTTCTGCCAGTCTGCTAAAAGTGTCAGGGCAGTACTCTAGGTGGGTGGATGTAATGAGGGGCAGTACAGCGCAGACATGCATTTTCTGCGTTCGTGAGTTCTTCTAATGTTGTTGGTAGCAGAGTGTGAATGAGTAGCACTGTATTTCATGTTTATCTTCAACGTGTACATGTTGAAAATGGGAATAGGATGGGTTTCCTCCATACAGAAAGTAGGTTTGTAGACTGTTTCCTCTTTTATGGCCAACTGTTACCCTTTTTGCAACTGGGCTGTTTTGAAATAAAATGGATCCTCTTCTGTCTTTGTTATGAGGTGAATTCATAACAAGTTTCTGCTTGGGAAACTTGCTGCCCGAGACAGTAGGAGGAGCTGTCACTTCTTATCTGCAGTACAGCCAGTGCCGTCTTCCTGGGTTGTCTCAGTGTGGTTCAGGGACCAATTAAACAGGGAACCTCAGAAAGTGATGAATCATTGAAAACAGTCAGAACGGTTACTACTCATTCATCTGCCAAACAGATCAATCCCCCCCCCCATTTATTTTTCTTACTATTTCATTATTATCTTAAATGTAACACTTCAATGAGAAAGTCTTTAAATCATTATAAAGTATTAGCCTTTCTAAACAATGCTGTGTTTTAAGAAGGGTTTGTAATCAGCTTCGCTTAACTTCGAGATGATTAAAACTCAGGACTGAGTGTTTAATTGTGTTTGTACTTATGCTAGTGACTCGGTCTATAAATGTGATTTTTCACTGATGCTCTTCAAGTAGCAAATTTATATTGTTGTTTGGACACCTGAAGACATTTAGACCAAAGTGCTGCCAAAAGTAATCAGCCTAGCTGACAGGGCTTTGCTTTGTGTTGCTGTTTCGTGGTGGTACCCCTCCTTTGTCCTAGTGTGCGGACTCTCCTTTTTGCTGTGTTTACAGGAATATCTTTTCCATGAGGAGATTTCATGCTTGCCCCATCCTGTTTCTTGGTATCTGGTATTTTGAATCTTAAGTTTTCAGAACCAGTATGACATTTTGCTGCAGTGTTATTTACAGCTTTTAACACCTCTGGCTTCTTAACTAAAACATGGTTAAAGATGACATGATTGAAACGACACTTTCAGAACAAAAGTGAATAAGCACAAGACCTATTCTCTGTCTTTTCAAATGAACTCTTTCAATCACTTTTATTTTTATGCCTCTCAGGACCAGCTGCAGTCATGGATTCGGGGAAATGTGAGCATCTGTCCCAGATCACTCTTCATATTTGATGAAATGGATAAAATGCATGCAGGGCTCATTGACTCCATCAAGCCATTTTTGGACTACTATGAGCTTCTTAATGGAGTGTCTTACCGGAAAGCCATCTTCATATTCCTCAGGTAAGAAGTGGCCTCTCAAGTTTGCAGTTCTGTACACTCAGTGCACTACAAAACTGTCTCCAGCTGCAAACTTTGTTTTTTTTCTTTACTTAGCAATGCGGGAGCTGAAAAAATAACAGAGGTGGCACTAGATTTCTGGAGAAAAGGAAGGACAAGGGAAGATATACAGCTCACAGATATGCAGAATGCGCTGTCTGTGTCTGTCTTCAATAACAAGAATAGTGAGTAGAACTTTGATTGCTTTCAAGGTTGTAAATCCCTGTCTGGATTGACAGCTCCTCAGCCATTTCCGGTGTTGCACAAAGACATATATATCCCTGTTTTTTGGGTGCTTCTGTGCTTTTGGGAGCCACCACATCTAGTATAAAGATTTTCAGAGGAGTTTGGGCTTCTGCAAGATGCTGGATGAAGTCTCTGGAGATGTCTGCCAGATCATCCCGCTAACTTTGATGTATAGGAATGGATTCATCAGCTGTCGATGGTATGCCTGTGAGCAGCTGTGGTGTGAAAAATGTAAATCGTATGTTTGTTCTAGAACAGTAGAGAGATTTATTTGCTGGGAGATAGGAATATAAACAAAAGCGATGCCACGTTTAATGTACGAACTGCGCTTGTACAGCTGTGGCTTCCACTTGACATGGGCTCCGGTTTTCAGCTAGTGAGGAGCCATGGTGCAGGTCTGAGGCCTACAGACTGCTATTGAGATGAAATGGAGGTTAGGAACTCTGTGTGTGACTTGGCTACCGGCATGTTTACTCGGTGACTCTGTTGGGTTACGTATGTTGGGGATTGTCTACTCTGAGCGTTTATTGACATTTTAATGGGTTGCAGGGAAAAACAAGCAGAAAAGAAGCCTAGACGGTAAGATTAGGTATTGCGTTAGCTGATAAATCTTTGACCCATACAGCATTTTAATATGGAGAAGACGGTTACTTGCCTCCAGCCCAGTTAGATCACCTGTCTTGCTGAGGCTGGGCAAAGCCTTCAGGCAGCTTTTAGGAGCTATTCAGGGGAACAAGCTGACCTGCTGACCCTGCTGTGGGGAGTCCAATGCTTCCTGGGTGTTCTTGCATGGGATTTCCGGGGAAAAAGGATTTTAAGATAATTATGCTTTAATATTAGCAGTAGAAGCAAACCTACTGTATTTTTTTTTTTAAAAAAGGCTAGATGCAAGTTCCGAAAAAAGGAGCAAGGTGAGCTAGTCTCGGGGGGGCTGATATAAGAGACTGAAAAATCTGGGCTTCTGTAGGTGAGAGAAGTGAAGGTATGAGACCAGCAGCTGGGGAATAATGTATTCATGCAGTAGAGTTCCAAAAGATCACGTCTGTGAGTCTGTCCCAGACTTTATGCACAAAGTACTATGAGAATGGGCTTGTATTTGGGCTTTCTTGTCTGTCACAGGGCCCTAATTCACAAGTGAAATCTTTCTGTGGTTTCTAGCAGGGGGATATGATATTGCTCCCTTTTATTGATAGAAATCTCATCGACTACTTTGTTCCTTTCCTGCCTCTGGAATACAAACATGTGAAAATGTGTGTCAGGGTTGAGATCGAATCACGTGGCTATGCTGTGGATGAAGACATTTTAACCAGAATAGCCGATGAGATGACCTACTTCCCCAGAGACGAGAGAATTTATTCAGATAAAGGATGTAAAACTGTGTATGCCAAACTGGATTATTACTATGACTTCTGATGCTTTACTACTGCAATCTGCAAAGAAGCAAATTAACTTAATCACAAAGTGGAGAAACCGGGACATTTCATTTTTAAGCACTTTTTTTTTTTTAAAAAAAGGACCATTATTTTTAACTGGTGTGTAAATAAGTGGCAGTGCATCTGCATTTTTATTCTGTCAGTAGTCACGGCTCCCAAGTACTTTGGTCTTGTGCTGTCAAGGTAAGAAAAAACTATTTCATGAAGGTGAGGGCTCTTTGTCTATTAGTGCCCAAGACTTACCTCAAATTGTGTGTTGATTGTCAGAACTGTTAGCAGACCATTGGCACATGTTGTAGGACTGAGATAATGACCTAATTTTAATTGGTTTTTGGTTTGATGCGAGTGATCTCTAGACAGTATTGAGAATCTTAATCAGAGTCACTATGTCTGTGAAAGGCTTCACTGGGCTTGTGCGGGAATATTTGTATAACCACATTAAGAGTAGGATGTGTGTGTTTTTTCTCCTTGAACAGCTTGTGTCCGGTAAAGATGAGGAGGAATTGTGTCATTAAAAAGTCCACATCTTCTATCTAGCATTATGAAGTACCATTGTCTTTCTCAAAACTGGGGTATATATTGGCCTCCTTTGTGTAAACCAAGTTAAGAATATGAACTTCTCTTTGGTGTGAAAAGCCTTCAAAAGGGAGAACTTTAACAACATTAAGTAGAAAGAGGAAGTTAGTAAAAGTCCTTGACTACCACTTTGAGTTGGTTTCTATTTTGGTAATTTTCTTATGGGTGAAATTGCCCTCACTGTGCTTCCCCAGGAATGATTTCCTTGGGTAGGAAGGAAAAAAGCATGCTGACTGCTGAGTTGGTTTCACGGAATGGGTGTAACTTAATGGGAGACGTGCATGTATCGTAAAGCTTACTTACACCAAGGAAATGGAAAAGAGGTTTCTCCTCTTCCTCTAAATGTAAAATTAAAAGGTTAGCTTGCAGCAGGGTTTTCCCTTTATCCCATTCTTGCAATATTTGGTGCCTTTTGAGGCAGGGATAAAGACAGATCCAAAGGCATTTGGGGGGGGGGAAGGGGAAGTGAAATGGGTCAACTGAAGTTACTGCAGTCTGTCAGACTTGTTTCTAAATGTGAGCACTGCTGAGGCTTTTTTTTATTCCAGTTTCTATTCAAAATAAACATTTCTCACTAGAAATGTGTTTCTTAACTACCTTCTTATGTTTATTTGCATTGAGTGATTTGATGTTAATTTTGCACAAACTTGCCACCTGTTGAGGAAGAGCATACTACCTTTTTGGCTGAAGTGCTCAGCTGTGCTTGAGTACAGCTCTCTGCCTTTTTGGGTGCAGAGGAATAGATGTGGGGAGGAGATGTGATATGTTATTGGGGAAAGGGAGACAGAGTTTGCAGTAGAAACTGCAGTTCTAGAGCATTGACACTAATTACACTTGCATGCTTTTTGCAGAGGAGGACTTCAGCAGAACCTAGTTTTAGATGTGCTCGTCTGAACAGTATTGTAAGAATGAATTTGCCTTCTAGAGAGTTGATAAAACCGTGCTTGTTATCCCTTCCTCCCTTTGTGATACCACTGTCTAAATGGTAACTCTGAAAATACTGCAGTCGGTGATTTAAGGTGCACGTGTTTTTAGTAGCAACACCTTGAAGTATTCTCTGCAGGAGAAAAATGGGCCAATAAGATGGACAACTGTCCAGTTCTTCTCTGAGGCTATATAATATGCTAATTAACTTATCAGTCCTAGTATTTGTCAGCCAAGAGGTGCTCTGAACTTGGTTATTTAATGGTTTCTTTGACAGGCTGACTACGGTGAATGACTTGCTATAACTGGGTAATGGAAAAATGTGGACGTGAAAACAATAAAACTTAACTACCGTCTGGTAACTTACCATCAACGAAGCAGTGCTGTGGCTCTTCCAGCATTAAATACACTGTTCGTTCTGCTTTACGTGCCACTGCAGTGTCTATACTAGCAAGTATTATTTTGTAGCTGTAGGTGGCTTAGGGTAGATGGAAGCTTCCTCCAGAGGATGTAGGAATGATGGTCAGAGGCTGAAGGCTGCCCCTCTGCTGAATCTTTCCATCCTAAAAACAGCAGGCCTGGCTAGGAGCATTTCTGGCATCTGGGTAAAAGGAATAGGTGTGGGAATAGTCACTCCAACATTTGGTCCTGCAGTTATCTCTCTGCTTTATAGACTGTATGCTTTCAAAACAGATCCTAATTGTCTCTTTCTTGCTGTGACTGGATAACTTTGGCCATTACTCTTTAACACCTCATTTGAAACGGGAGAGGACAGCTTCAGGGAAAATGTTGAACTGGGGAAAAGGTCCGAGCCCTAGAGAAACAGTTCATTGGCTGGGTGAGAGTAGCTGAGCTGTTACTGAGACTGCATTTTGTTTGTTTTTGCCAAAGTCCACTACAAGCAACTGCTGCTTTAATTCAACCTTTTCTATAGGGTAGGTTCCCAGCTCGCTTGCTGTGCTCATAAGTGATAAACCATAGATAAAACGCAAGCTGACCTGAACCCTTTGTAGTAAGTGCTACTCTCTCGAAAGAGGCCATTTGCCTCTAAAGACTCATCTGTTTGATAGCAGGGGCCAAACACCCAAGTTGTTGTGCGTGCAGAGCGGTGCAGCCCCAGAGCTCAGCTTCTGTCGCAAAGTTCTGATGAATAAAACCACTTATGCTTCTGATACACGCTGCTTAACGAACCTCTTTGTGCATCATTAGAAACAGCACAATTCATGGTCTGCAACAGCATGAACAACTGACTGCTCAGGGAGGTGTAAGCTGTTGCCAGTAGCTGTAACCTTACTTGAATTAAGCTGTGACTTACACACTGGCTCTGTTTCAGTACCAGGGAGGCTGGAGATGTTCCAGCTGCTGGAGACAAGATGAAAGCCTGTAGTCTTATCCTGCCTTTCCCAGCTAGATGCAAGACAAAGCACTGTCTTGAACACCAACTTTCCAGACAGAGCACAGAAGAGAAGTAGTTAAACAAGCTACCTGAGGCTTGTTGGCCTTGCAGTGCCTGGCAGTATGGCTAATAACTATAAAGCAGAGCATGCAGAAACTAAGGCTTTTTCATAGGTGCTTATTTCCTACACGTACATCTCCTGAACTGTATTCACTGAATGTATAATTATGCTCTTGGATGACTGGGCATGTTTTAATCTGCTTATCTAACTGTTCTTATGAACAAATGTTTAAGAATAAAACAAGCTTAAAGGAAAGCTGTAAGGTAGCTGGCTGGAAATTGCATAGAGTAGTATTCTTCTGTAGCTGATAATGATTCAGGCAAGAGAGAAGAGTGACTGAAGATTTATTCCCACCTCAATACAGTAGTAATATTTAGTGTTTTTAGATTGCACAAGTATGTTGCATTCAGAGTAACCGAAACTAGTTGCAGCATTTACACCCATGAATAAGGCAAAACTTTATTTATAATAATCAAAAGCAGCAGTCCACCATCACAAGGTTAATAGCTAGTTAGCATTTGGCGCTGGAGGTTGCATCAGTTTGCCAACATCTGACAAACTCCACATGAGGCTGTAAAAGACAACTGACACTTTTAACTGAGAGGTTAATGTAAATATTAAGATGTGATGCAGAACTTCAACTGAGAGCTTAACTCACTCATATTCAAGTGTGCTTTGATTCTACAGCACAAAAAGAGCCTACTCCCTCAAGTCAGTTTAAGACATATTGCCATCCACCTCTATAAGCAAGAGGCACTTCTGTCTTACACTACACTATTTCATCATCTGTCAGTTGCAGATCAGAGAGTTAAAGCTTGCCACATCCCAAGTGTGCCTAAGTGGGTGCCTTACCAAGTGGGTGGAGGTTAATTTTTTCCTAGCTTCCTAAACTTTCAAATTCCAGTTTCATCTTACCCTTGGGCAAGCTTTAACACTCGCCCTGCCACACAGACCTTCTTTAATGTTAAAAGCTACTTTAAAAATATCTATCTAGTGAGGTATGGGAATGTTGCTCTGTGATCCACTTTCCCATACTCCCTTCTCTATGATTCTCTAGGAAAGGCTTTCCATCTCTATTGTTTACACTTCAGTTAAAAAAATACACTATTAAAAATGACCTCTGCCATGAAAACGTCTTCCAGCAAGCTGAGAGTGGGATTACCCACTACTAGGTGCAGTTGGGAGGGACTGTTAAAGATCCGGGTAGACTTCAGGCCCAGGGGCCTGCTGGCAGACTAACCTGACAAGCTGTAACTTCCCTGTGCTCAGGGAGACTAACACCCTAGAGATACCACACAAATGCACTTAGCCCCCTTAGTTAGAAAAAAATAAAAAGAGAGAAAAGATCACAATTTCTTTTCCTCCCAAAGGAGTAGAAGGACAAGCCATGACTTTCTCCCTTTCTCTGCTGTTTAGTAACTGAATTCCCTGAGCTCATCATGACTTTCCACATCCCCAAAGCAGGAAACATGCTGTGATGCCAGTCAAACATGCATGGTACTTCTGCTCCTCTGTCCCTGAATAGCTGACTCCATCTGTATAAGCCACAGTAGCATCCATCTGCTGTAGAGAGCAAGGAGTCTTCTAACATAACAGCTTCTTAGGGGCAACGCATCAAGGAATTTACCCTTGCAGACACTACTGTAGGCCTAAACGCACTACACCACCTTTGATTTCACTGGCCCGTGAACTAGACCCTCCACATACAAGGAGGGGAGTATAGCTGCCTGGAGGAATTCCTTTGCTCTAGTCTAGACTTTCTGTGGAAGGGAAATGAAATATTTAATAATCCCAGCACTTAGGAGAACAAAGTGGGAGAGGCTGTATCCAGCTCTATATATGCTCTGCCGAGAAATTTTCGAGAAGGATAGGCAACATTTGGATACCTGCCAGTTCAGAGATGAGCAAGGGAATTTAAAAATCAATAAAAAAAATAAGAAGCTCATACAGCTCACTCTGGATTTTCACCTAAATGCATACATACAAATGGCAACAAACTCTGAAAGTGCTTTGGAGAGGTAAAGGCTAATCAACTCTCAGCTTCTGTATCTCTCATCACAGTGTCCCAGTGAAAATTCAGCTTGGCCTGTACAGTCTTGCAGCCTTTATCAGAGTAGATTCTCTCCTCTTTTGGGAAGAACGTCATCTCATCAGTCACCACTTCAACCACCTTTTCATCGACAGCACGGCCATGGGATATCATTTCAGCCCTGATGCACATCTTCACATGCTTGTGCTCCAGGGGCAGGAAGGGAACAAAGTAGTCAATGAGGTTCCTGTCAATGAGGCTGCTGTGCCACAGACCACCTGGAGGAATTGGGGGGAGAAAACAAACACACCTATAGGAAGGTGTTTCTGTAGAATAAGGCCCACATAAGGTAGGATCTACAGGGCACCGAATTCATAAAGCAGGTTGTCTCAACCGCTGTCCAAAGAAGCAAGGAGTGCCAGTTAGCCGGATGGATCAGGAATTGTACCTTGCAGTTGCCACTGTACCCTTTAGCGTGCCTGCAGGGCAACTTCTGCACCAAGAACTTCCTTGTAAGGACACGGCACTGGAGCAAAGGGACTGAGGGGCACAGGCCAGGGCACTGTTGTACAAACGTGGGGGACACAGGAAGCAGAGCAAACTCAAGGCAGGTTGAGGTACAGATTGTAGAGATGAACCCTGCATTTAGGAAGTCAAGGAGTTTCACATTTTCTGGGGAAACTGACTTACTATTCTTGTTATTGAAGACTCCTACAGAAAGCACTGGCTCCAGGTCTTTCAGCTGAATCTCTTCCCTCTGCTTTCCACTCCTCCAGAAATCAAGAGCCACTTTATTAATTAAATTTGCACCTGCATTGCTATTCATGAAAGAAAGAAAGTTACAAGAGTGAACAGAGACAGACAACTGAGCAAGAGTTCCTTTTTAGCTGGTTACATGAATCACTTATCTGCTTGAAGACAAAGAGATCACCAAAACAGAAACCCTTAACCCAAAGCTTATGGCAAGCGTCCGGTTCTTATGAGTTGCCATCAGTGCAGCCACCCCAGAGACCCTCCCCAAAATCTGAACTCTCATGTGATCTGCATTCTGGGCCAGTCTCATGAGCTCAGCACGCTGCAGCTATCTGCCATGCTGCGTCAGACTTGCCCCACTATAGTCACAGGCTCTCCCATTCCAGGGCTTATAGTGCCCCCCCCTATGTTTATAGTCAGGGTCTTATGCTCTGGAGCAGTTCTGCTGTACTTTGAATCAGGTCTCACAGGAGCATCATTGTCATTGTATACACAAAGATTTATTTCGGTACCTCAAAACAACTGGAAAAGGTGCTACAGACCTGAGGAAGATGAAGATAGCTTTCCGGTAAGACACCCCATTAACCTGCTCATAATAATCTAAAAATGGCTTGATGGCATCGATGAGGCCTGGGTGCAATTTGTCCATCTCATCAAAAATGAAGACAGAGTGGGGACAGGCACTGACATTGCCCTGGATCCATTTCTGGAGTTGCTCCTGGAAAAAGAAGTCAAAAAACACTGGAAAACTTGGTCTTGTGTGGATTTACTGCAAGAGGTTTGTACGTAACAGACCCTAGGGACTCCCTTTCAGAGGCTGGTGGCACACGCTCACTGGTTACGCTCTTTCCCCCCCCCCCCCCACAAAGAATCATAAACCCTGTGATCCCTTTAACGTGACACAATTTACACGTGAATTCTCTTCCTGCTCACAGATGAGAGACTTTCTCCGTCTTTCTCCTTGGTGAACGGATAAGGCATAAAAACCAGATGGTGAAGGAAAGTCGTGGAAATAAGATTTTGTTTTTTGTTTTGTTTTTTTTAAATCAGTGTTTCTTCCTTCATACAAAACCCCAATCTAGCAATACATCAGACATAAAAACACAAACATCAGGACTCTGATTTCTAGGAACAGAGTCACTCAAAAAATCTCTCACACCGGTTACGCTTCCCCGTTGCTTCGCTTTCGGGCAGGGTTTCCTTCCTAGCAGCGAGCGCGGCAGAAATCGGCAGAAGGCAGCAGCGAGAGGAAAGCACCGAGGAAACCCGCTCTCACTTTTCAATTCCTGGCATTTCAGGGCATGGCTGTTTCACTTTCCCAACGCGCAAGGAAGCGGTTCAACCACCATCTCGGGAGCTCGGCACCAGCTTTGGAGAAACACGGCTGCACGTAAAGCTCCGGCACTCCAGTCCGGAGCGATGCGGGGACCCTCCACCCCGCCAGGAGGGTTCCCGGGTTACCTGGTAGAGCTTGACCTGGTGCTGGTGGGGGAAGTGCAGCGTGGCCAGGAAGAGGTGGACGAACTTGCTGCGCAGCCCGGCGGGGTGCAGGTGCTCGGCGAGGATCTGGCTGAGGAGGTTCTTGCCGGTGTAAAGCTCCGGCACTCCAGTCCGGAGCGATGCGGGGACCCTCCACCCCGCCAGGAGGGTTCCCGGGTTACCTGGTAGAGCTTGACCTGGTGCTGGTGGGGGAAGTGCAGCGTGGCCAGGAAGAGGTGGACGAACTTGCTGCGCAGCCCGGCGGGGTGCAGGTGCTCGGCGAGGATCTGGCTGAGGAGGTTCTTGCCGGTGCCGCCCCAACCGTGCAGCGA